TCTCACTTAATTCATGTTGCTCTGTGACTGTGACTCTGCAGCTCTCCTCCATATGGCTGCGGCAGCCAGCTTACCCAAAAGCCGGAAATCTTAATTTAACATACTAAGTTATCTGAACATTTTACTTAAAAAAATAAAGTAAACGCGCACAAATCAATTCGATAATATCAATGCTAAATTAAGAACAACCAGCAGATCTGGATTGATAGCGGAGGCGCATACAAGCAAATCCAGGGCAATGTGATTGCATGCAATCATGCCTTTCCAGAGGAAAAGATTCAATTTATCGCAATGAGATTATGACGCACAAATTTAAAATTGGAAAAAAAATACAATAAAGTACTTTGGTCTAAAAAATTGTTTACTGCGATAACCGATTTTCCCTTTTATGATATCGACAAAATTGGCAAAAATTTTAGATTTCTGCAGCTTTTGAAACAGAGCATTATACAAAAATATGCGGCCTTAAAGAAAACTAGAAAAAAAAACGGATTAAAAGAAGATAAAGGTGAGGGCACATAAGCAGCTTGGCATCATGGCGAGGGATTTTATTGTCAAATTATAAAGGAAAACGACGGCAGGATTCGAGTGCGGCTCTGGCGTCTCTTTATGATACATATGCCCATGGTAGAAGAATACAGGTACAAGCATCAACGCTTGGAAACATTGATATGCCAAAAAATTTAAATATTTTTTCAAATATAAGTAGATTTTTATATGTTTTCTAATACGTCGTCATTCGGAGGTTATTATAATACGCGTTTTTCAACAATTTTTACAAATTCAAATAATTTTTTATTCAACATTTTCAATTCCAAACTTGCTTTGACAGTTCATTGTCCCAGCAGCTGTGTCGACGCGTCTACCTATATTCTTCTATCATGCATATGCCACAAAATATGCCATGCGAAGACTTCAAGCATCCGATTGGGCTTCGTATAGGAATGCATATAAAAATCTACTTATTTTTTACAATTTTTTTTTTTAAAGTTGGACATATCAATGTTCCCAAGCGTTGATGCATCTACCTGTATTCTTCTACCATGCGTTGTATGTATTCTCACCTTTATACATACAAAAAATTGACAACAAACATATTCGCCACAATAGGTTTCTGTCAAGACGAAAATATTTATTTTCGCCTCAAACATGAATTTTGACATTTTATCTGATAAAATAACAGCTGTTTTTACATTAATTCGCTCGAAGGAAGACCTTATAATTGAGCCATGACTTCAAGCGGCTTATCATGGTAGAAGAATACAGGTAGTCGCTTCGACACAGTTGCTGGGACAATGTCAAACCGATTTTGGAATTGAAAATGTTGAATGAAAAATTATTAAAATTTGTAAAAATTGTTGAGAAATGCATATTGTAACAACCTCCGATTTGCATCGTATAAGGAAATATAAAAAAATGTACTTATTTTTGACAAAACAATTTTAAAATTTTGATATATCAATGTTCGCAAGCGTTGATGCATCTACCTATATTCCTCTACCATGCGGCTTATGTACCCACATCTTAAGGGAATAAATTCAAAAGCCTAGTCACTTTTTTAAATCTTCGGACTTACAAATGCCTAAAAACAGAAAAAATGATGTTTTCATGTAATTAAATACATGTTGATGTTTATTTTTTTAAACTTGTTTTGTGACACAAGTTTTGTAAAGTTTTGTTTTCCATAACAGCCACACTTCTCAATTTGATAATTAACCTCAAATAATCTGCGGTTTTTTTAGTTGAGATCGATGTATTACTAGAAGTGTTATCGCGGTTTTTTTGCAATTGCCAGATATGTGATCTATAATTAACGATTGGAAAAGTTTTGAATTACATTTAAGATGTGAACGATTAGAGGTCATTGTAAATCAATGATACTGATATCGTAACAAGCAGTGCAGTTATAAATTATCGTAGGTTACCATTTATATTTTAGCCATTATTTAACATAGGTTCTCTACAAACTCACATTTACAGGATGAAATGAAAATAAACTGCAACCAACTTCAGACAGCTGTCATTTCAAAGCCACTCGTCCGACAGCTGTTAAAATTATTCCAGTGACAACTCATTATATTGTTTACAAGCGTACAAAAGCATTTTGTTGAGCATTTTCCAGAAAAAAAAGTTATTCGTGATGGAATTCAAGCGTGATTTCAAAGTTCGCTTCCCTAATAAAAATATTATTTCTTGGGAACTCCTCTAATACCATTGTGTCATCTGGGCCTAAAAACAGCTGGCCACACATCAATTCCAGGTGGAGTAGTTGCTTAATTTATATTTAACTGTAAAATATAACTAGCTACCCATGTAAAATGATCGCAATCGCATTATTTCAACTAGTTACCACAACCACAAACTATTTACACATGCCTGCTTATCACTTCGTCCAAAAGGCAGAGACGAGCCCCCATATAATTTACTTGATATCGTTTATTTCTGTTGCTCAGTGACTATTCTTGCTCTCTTCTCATCAAAATAAATATAATCGTCATCTGAGAGTGGAGGGAGTTCACTAACACCAATGTGCGCATTAGAACAGTGATGCTAACTAGACTTTTCTTTTATCGTTCTCGTTCACTCTGCCACACATTGTAAGTTTGTCATTGAAACAAAATTTAATGTCATGTTGTTAAATGTCAATGGAAATTATTGCTGGAATGTTGATTTTATCACAAATGATATAATAACACAGTGTGTGGAAATTAGCAACTCATTTATTGTGTGACAAAAATCGTTCACTTATTTTTCAGCGTTTTTTTCTAATTTGAATAAAAATGTTTAACACAGTGGAGGTAAAAAGTTTGCATTCCCTGAATAAGAGGAACATTTATGAGAATGTTGGAACCATGGTACAAAAATACAGGTAGATTTATCAACACTTGGGAACATTGGAAAACTGCAACCAACTTCAGACTGCTGTCATTTCTAAGCCACTCGTCCGACAGCTGTTAAAATTATTCCAATGACAGCTCATTATATTGTTTACAAGCGTCGTACAAAAGCATTTTGGTGAGAATATTCCAGAAAAAAACTTATTCGTGATGGAATTCAAGCGTGATAGTGTGATTTCTTTATATTTGGCTGGAAAACCACAAGTGGCTGACGTTGGACAATCCAGCATTTAAATGTGAATAAATCTTTTCTGTCTCATACCATCCCCCATTACCGCGATACTACTGGTAGCGTAGCCCGACGCCAGGGAAGTGGACGGAAGAAAACAGCAACATCAGCAGAAATGCTTGGAATAGTAAAGAAGCGACTTGATCGAAACCCGCGTCGCATTGGCCGAAAAATGGCTCGTGGGCTGAACATATCGCAATATTCGGCAACATTCGGCAAATATTAAAAATTAAGTTGGGGTAAGGCCATTGAAATTCCAAAAAGTGCAAGAACTTACACTGCAACGCCGAAAGAAAATAGACTCAAAAGAGCTAAAAAGTTGCTTCGCTTGGCCGAAAGGGAGGGTGTATTAAAGCCTTGGGCCCGCAAACATTTTGGCCACAGACCTTGGACATTTCAACAGGACTCAGAACCATCGCACTCAGCACGCGCCACCCAAGAATGGTTACAAAATGAGGTTCCTCGCTTCATTTCCAGCGCACAATGGCCACCAAAATTTCCGATATCAATCCGTTGGACCGTATTGTGTCTGGAGTATTTTGCGAAGCAAGGTTGGCACTAAAAAATACCAAAGTATCGATCACCTCAAGCAAGCGCTCCGTCGGAAATGGGCCAAAATACCGCAGAACAACATTCGGGCAGCGTGTGAATTGGCCGTTTGAAGGCCATAATTCGTGCCAAAGGTGACCAATTCGAACAAATCTAAACTTATTCTAAAATTTGATGCTATTTCCGACATTTTTTGCTTTTATTTAATAAAATTTAAGAAAAAAATGTAAAAATTATGGCGTTTAACTTTGTTGAAGTTTTTTTTATATCTCACCCTGTAAACATATGATTCTATGCGTTTACGTCATGGCAGAATAATACAGGTAGATGCATCGACGCTTGGGAACATTGATATGTCAAAAATTTTAAAATGTTCTTTCAAATATAAGATTTTTAGATGTTTTTTTATACGACGCAAATCGGAGGTTGTTATAATAGGCATTTGGCAACAATTTTTACAAATTTCAATTAATTTTCATTCAACATTTTCAATTCCAAAATCGGTTTGACAGTTTGACAGCTACTTGTATTCTTCTACCATGAGTTTACGTCATGGTAGAAGAATAGAGGTAGATGCGTCGACACAGCTGCTGGGACAATGAACTGTCAAACCAATTTTGGAATTGAAAATGTTGAATGAAAAACTATTTAAATTTGAAAAATTGTTGAAAAACGCGAATTATAATAGCCTCCGAATGAAGTAGTATAAGAAAACATATAAAAATCTACTTATATTTGAAAATAAATTTAATTTCTTTGACATATCAACGCTCCCAAGCGTTGATGCATCTACCATGGTTTACGTTCTTAATTATACCATGTTTACAGGGCTCTACATTTGTCTTTTTTTCTGAGCTTCAGGCTCTCAGTTTCTCCTCGGTGTGGGTACATTTCTATTTTGGTGTCGACTTTTTTTAAGATTCTTTCCTAGTCTTGGAGATTTTCTAATGCTTCCAATGCCTATTCAAACGTTTTTAAACTTCTTTCTCCCACTGTAACATGACGGAGTCAAAACCAGTTGAAAAAAAAACATGAATAAATGGAAGGGAAAACCATGGTTCCCCTCTCTCATTCTCATATCCAATCTAATCTTCTCACCAATACGATAAACACTGAGATCCCCAGATGTTTTGGGGGCGCTCAAAGTGCAAGTAGTTTTTTTTTTTGTTCTTTTTTGACGTTGACCTGTTGTAAACAACATGGGGCTGAACACGTCATGGGGAGATCTCTCTTTCTCTTTTCTTACATTCGATTGTGGTTAATGAGAGATGTGTAAATGCATTGCTACCAGTCGAACGAACCAACCAACCATTCATTTATTTAGAAGCGAACAAACGTTTTTGGCCATCATTCCACGGCAAGCAAGCAAAGCGAAGAAATGCAATAAATAGTTCTGTTTTGAAATTGCAACGGTAAAATAGTGTGCTTTAAAGAACAAAAAAAAAATCAAAAGAGTAAAAGAAAAAAAAATTACATTGTGTTCGGACTATTTTTAAAAAAAATTGTTTTTAAAAGAATAATAAAAACAACGAAACTCTCTTTACAAACAAGTGTGGTACAGTTGTCAAGCAAGTCATTGTAACGTCAACACGCATTTCTGTTTTTTCGTTTTGTTGGTACTTTGAACCAGTTTCCCAATGGAATCCAAATCCGACTTAAGGTGAGTATTTTTGTTTTCTTTTTCAAAATCAAAAAGAAAAAATATTTGCAAATGCTTGCATAATTTAATTTTTTTTTTAACAAAATAAAAGTAAGAATTGTTATGCAAAAACAAAGAGAAAAGTGAAATCGCAATTGCCACAGATGCAAAATGAAATTTAAAAAAAAAAAAATAGAAGAAAAAATGTGTGTGCGAGTGTGTTGGCCTGCATTGCAATGCGTTGAAATGCATGCACAAATGTTTACCATATGGAAAACGTGACATTTAGCAAGATATCATGCCATTGACAAATACCACAACACAAAAAAATGAAAACAGTTTTAAATTGCAATTCCTTTGAAACTGCAATTCTTTGTTTACCCTTTGTTGTTGTCCTCCCAGCCGGTATGCTTTGTTTACTCATCCGCTCGCTCTCTTGCTATGTTTCTCTTTGACAATGCCAAATAATGGCGGTGTTTTTCTCAATTCCTGTTAAAATGAAGTTATAAAACTGGCTGGCCACACATCAAATTTCATTTACATATTAAGAAATGTAAAAAATGGATAATTATTGAAATTTTTATAAAAAAGTAGACACAAACTACATTTTTAATTGAGTGTAAAAAATAATTCTTTAATATAGGTAAAGTTCATATGTTTAAAACTATTAAAAAATACTTTAAACATGCAGTAGTTCTATAACAAATAAAGGTTGCCTTGAAATTGTTTAAAAAGCAAATTTTAACCCTAAAAAAAACTTAAAAATTCCAGGAAGCATAAAAAATGGAGAATGCTTGAAAATATTATTAAAAAAAATTAAAATGAAGCTGTAAAACTGGATGGCCACACATCAAATTTCAGTTACATATTATGCTAGGAACACAATTGGAGCGAACGACGAATTTTTTCGCGGCGTATGTTCGTCGTCAAAAATAAAACACATATGTGTATATGGAAGTGCACACAATCACGGCACCGGCGAAAATTTCGTCGGTCGCCGCGAACTCAATTAGCTTTATTTCTATTTCATACGCCGGCGACCGGCGAACAAAACAGTACAAGGTGGCCATACTTGTACGAATTTTATGTGTTTTAGTAAATAAAGTTACTTTTTACTTTAAAATTTGTTATGGTCACTCTACTATCTGTTACTCGTATAAAAAAACATAATTAATTTGTTTATTTATTTGTGTACTTGCGCCTGAGTGAAGATGGATATCAGTGAATTTATAATAGAGAAGATGGACATAAGTGAAATTATAATAGAGAACGTAAAGAATTATGTGTTCTTGTATAATTCATTGTAGTCAACAAATGAGCAAAAAGTAAACAACTTCATCAGCTGTTTTATAATTTCGTCGGTATTGTGTTCCATACGACGAATTTTCGCGGCTCATTTTGTCGCCGCGTAGGGCGAAATTCGTCGTTCGCTCCAATTGTGTTCCTAGCATTAAGAAATGTAAAATAAAGGGAAAATAATTTATTATTACTTATTGAAATTTCTATAAAAAAGTAGACACAAACTATATTTTTAATTAGGTGTAAAAAAATAATTCATTAATATAGACAAACTTTATATTTTTAAAAATATTGAACAATATACTTTAAGAATGCAGTAGCAGAAATATTGCCTTGGAAACATTGTCTTAAAAACAGATTTTAAGCCTAAAAAACTTCAAAATTTCAGGAAGCATCAAAAGTCGTTAAAAATGGAGAATGCTTAAAAAATTATTAGAAAAAATTAATGCTTTATTTACACACCCGCTCTCTATCTATGTTTCTCTTTGACAATGCCAAATAATAGCGGTGTTTTTCTCAATTCCTGTTAAAATGAAGTTGTATAACTGACTGGCCACACATCAAATTTCATTTAGATATTAAGACATGTAAATAAAAAAGGGAAAATTACTTATTTCTCATTGAAATTTGTATAAAAAGTAGACACAAATTATATTTTTAATTAGGTGTAAAAAAATAATTCTTTGATATAGATAAATTTGATATGTTTAAAACTATTGATAAAAATACTTTAAGAATACCGTAGCAAATAAAGGTTTTATCTTAAAAACAAATTTTAAGCCTAAAAAACTTCAAAATTTCAGAAAGCATCAAAAATTGTTAAAAATGGAGAATGCTTAAAAAATAAGTAGAAAAAATTTATGCTTTATTTAAACACCCGCTCTCTATCTATGTTTCTCTTTGACAATGCCAAATAATAGCGGGGTTTTCTCAATTCCAGTTAAAATGAAGTTGTATAACTGGCTGGCCACACATCAAATTTCATTTACATATTAAGAAATGTCTATAAAAAATGCAAAATTATTGATTATTACTTTTTGAAATTTGTATAAAAAAGTAGACACAAACTATATTTTTAATTAGGTGTAAAAAAAAACAATAAAAAAAAACATTAGGTTCATCAAAAAAACCATAAAGTGAGTAAGGTCGTTATATGGGGCCATACCAAAACGGAAACCTCTATAAGAAATTTTATACTTCAAGGATTGTCATCTATCAAATCTTCTAAAAAACCAAATTTGAAACAATTATGTAGGTAAATGTGACTAGAATTATCAAAATACCGAATATTGGCGGGTATACTTATATGTGCACTTTAGGAAAACGTGGAACTAATTATTCAATGTTCAATCACCGGGCTAGAACCCATTATGAACTGCAAATACCAATTGTTTTAAAAATACCGAATATCGGGAGGTACTCTTATATGAGGGCTATAACAAAACGTGGACCTATAAGAACCTATAAGAACCTATTATGACCGACAAATACCAATTTTTAGACAAATCCTCGAAAAAATGTGGTGAAAATCATAAAAATACTAAATATCGGGAGGTACCGTTATATGGGGACTATACCAAAACGTGGACCTATACATACAATTTTCCGCCACTGGAGCTTGAACCCATTATGACCTACAAATACCAATTTTTAGACAAATCCGTGGAAAAATGTGGCGAAAATTATCAAAATACTGAATATCGGAAGGTACCGTTATATGGCGGCTATACCAAGGCGTGGAACCATACATACAATATTTCGCCACACGAGCTAGAACCTATTATGACCCACAAATACCAATTTTTAGACAAATCCGTGGAAAAAAATGGCGAAAATTATCAAAATACTGAATATCGGGAGGTATCGTTATATGGCGGATATACCGAGGCGTGGACTCATACATACAATATTTCACCACACATACTAGGACCCATCATGACCAACAAATTCCAATTTTTAGACAAATCTGTAAAAAAATATGGCAAAAATCATCAAAATACCGAATATCGGGAGGTAACGTTATATGGGGACTACACCAAAACGTCGCATTTTCAATACCAACCATTCTAGACACAATACATATTGTTCTGCCAAATTTTGAAGGTCTACATCATATAATGTGGGCTGTATCGTGATTTCAATAGACAGACAGACGAACAGAAAGGGTATATGCAGGGTATAAAAATACCAAAGTGTCAATCACCTCAAGCAAGCGCAAGCGCCGAGAATGGGCCAAAATATCGCAGAGCAACATTCTGGCAGCGTTTGGCGGTTTCATTGGCCGTTTGAAGGCCATAATTCGTGCCAAAGGTGACCAATTCGAACAAATCTAAATTTCTCCTAAAATTTGATGCTATTTCCGACATTTTTTGCTTTCATTCAATAGAATTAAAAAATGTAAAAATTATGACGTTTGACTTTGTTGCAGTTTTGTTTATCTCATCCTGTATTTTATGGCTCTAAAATTTCTCAAATGAAAATTTGTTTAAAATTTTCACCATTTGTCGACTCAAAAAAAAAATTCTCTTAAAATTCACAATTTTTAGTCTTAAATTCTAGATTTTTATAGGGATGCTTTTTTGCTAGACTTTTTGTTTGTTTTTTTTATTTTATTTTTTTTTTTTCAGAAAAATAAAACATCTGCATTTTTTTCAAAGAAAAAAGAAATGCCAGATGCCTGTCGCATACTGCACCAAAAACAAACAAAGAAATTAGCGCCAGATATTTTGTAATTAACTTGTTTTTCATTATTCACTTGAATAAACTTTGCAAAACAATTGGTCAAAATCATGCAAGCTCATGTAATACTCATGTCCCAGAAGACCAATTAAAGGGGGTTCGATTGAATCGCGTGACAAAAACAATTTCATTGTTCTTTTCTCTTTGCCGAAAACAATCTCTCTCTCAGTTGTTTTAGCCATCTGGTATATATTTCAGACATTGTGGCAACCTTATTAGAAATGTTGAGAATTAATGAGAATAATAATTAGAGAAAAGAGAGTAGTAGAACTTTTCACGCTAAATTTTTTTTGGCATGTCACGACACAAGGGCGACACATTTCTGTCAAAAAAATAATTATCAAACTCGCATTTGAATTAGGTCGTACTTGCTTTTTTATACTGTGACACAATACTTTCCTCTACCAGAAACGCTGTCATGTCACGGCTTAATATAATAATACAGGGTGAGATAAAAAAAACTGCAACAAAGTCCAACGCCATAATTTTTACATTTTTTTTTTAATTTTACTTAATGAAATAAAAAAATGTCGCAAATAGCTAAAATTTTAGAACAAGTTTAGATTTGTTCGAATTGGTCACCTTTGGCACGATATATGGCCTTCAAACGGCCAATGTAACCGACACACTCTGCCCGAATGTTGCCCTGCGGTATTTTGGCCCATTCCCGGCGGAGCGCTTACTTGAGATGATCGACACTTTGGTATTCTTTAGTGCCAACCTTGCTTTCCAAAATACTCCAGACACAATAGTCCAACGGATTGGTATCCGGCCATTGTGCGCTGGAAATGAAGCGATGTACCTCATTTTGTAAGCATTCTTGGGTGGCGCGTGCTGAGTCCCGTTGGAATGTCCAAGAAATGTGCGGCCAAAATGTTTGCGTGCCCGAGGTCTTAATACACCCTCCAGAAATTTTTCGCCACTTCGCCAGTTCACCACTTTCGGCCAAGCGAAGCAACTCTTTAGCTCTTTTCAGTCTATTTTCTGCTGGAGTTTCGGTGTAAGTTCTTGCACTTTTTGGAATTTCAATGGCTTTATCCCGAGCTCCATTCATTTTTCAATATTTGCCGAATGGAATATTGCGATATGTTCAGCTCACGAGCCAAAATGCTTTTGTACGCTTGTAAACAATATAATGAGCTGTCACCGAAATAATTTTAACAGCTGTCGGACGAGTGGCTTAAAAATGACAGCAGTCTGAAGTTGGTTGCCGTTTTTTCATCTCATCCTGTAATTACCAGACTCGCATTTGAATTAGGTCGTACTTACATTTTATCCTCTATTACAAGCATGGTAGAATAACACAGGTAATCGCAACGACACAGCTGAATGGGATGTCAAGACATTTTTGGAATTCAAATTTTTAAATAAAAAATTATTTAAATTAGTTATAATTTTTGCAAAATACAAATCATAACAAACTCTTAAAGGCATTTTATAAGAAAAAATTTAAAAATCAATTAATTTTTGTAGAATCGCGGTTTTTTTTAATATTTTTGGCATATCAATGCTAACATGTCTTGTTTCCTTCTACCCTTCTATGTGGAGTTCATTTTGTTTCCACGCTTTTTTGTCATAATTTCGTAAAAAAAACACATCGAGTATACCCCCGGTTTTGAGATGACGGATCTACAATGTAAAGAGGTTACGATTACCGACATATCGACATACATGTGGTCGAACACATGACTGGGTCTATACAAAACTACATTTACTTAATTACTCTCACTAATTTGATTTGTAATTTATATTTTTATAAATATATGCAATTTGTAATTTTGTACGGCGAGCAAATAGCCTACCCAGTGAGTAAGCTTAACTAATTGCCTCAAGATAAAATAAGAGCTTTTTTTTGAATGATTGAGGAGAGAAATTCGAATTTCCATAATGCCATGTTTACGTTAGAACTTTTTGTAGGGTTAACCTACTTTGAGAGGATTTATTTGAAGTAAAAGTAATGGATATGACAATTTAAATCCAAATCCAGTGGGTCAACCCTCATATATATAAACGTACTGTAAGTTCGGATTTCATATAAATTATTTTCAAACTCAATGCGGAAAAAGAAAATTTTAAAACGTGAAGGGGAAATCCATTGGTTGATCGCGGATTTTCGAAGCGATAAAATCGGTTTTTTAAGAAATGTTGATGTCATCAAATCCCGGAATTTTTTAAGAAATTTTAAAGTTGGCAAATCATAAATTGACTAAAGAAATCTTGAAGCCATTTAATTTTGAGTTTTATAAGCATTTTGAAAGTCTGAGATTCATGTGCACCATCGGTTGGGCACCAGAACTCAAGCGCCGGTCTTGGTGATATTGTGGGCCGCCATAACAGCCGATGGTCGCTCTCCGCCCGTATTAATCGACCGTGGCATCAGAATAAATTCCGAATATTATAGCGAAAATATTCTGCAGGGTGTACTAAAGCCTTGGACAAGCAAACATTTTGGCCGCAGACATTGGACATTCCAACAGGACTCAGCACCAGCGCACTTAATGCTTAATTTGCAGCGCCCAATGGCCACCAAAATCTCCGGATACCAATCCGTTGGACTATTATATCTGTTGGATTTTGGAAAGCAAGGTTGGCACTAAAAAATACCAAAGTGTCGATCACCACGTCAAGCAAGCGCTTCGCCGGGAATGGACCAAAATACCGCAGAGCAACATTTGGGCAGAGTGTGACCGTTTCATTGGCCGTTTGAAGGCCATATTTCGTGCCCAAGGTGACCAATTCGAACAATTCTAAACTTATTCTAAAATTTTAGCTATTTCCGACATTTTTGCTTTCATTCAATGAAATTAAAAAAAAATGTAAAAACTATGGCGTTTGATTTTGTTGCAATTTTTTTTGTTATATATGAACATTTTATAAAAAATTGCTTTAATTTTTCTAATTTTTTAATTGTTATTTTTTTTTTTTTTTTTTTTTTTTTTTGATGAAAAAATGTTGAAGCTGACAAATTTTAGGTTATTAAAAGAAATTTTGAAACATTCAACCGTGTATTTTTATAAGAATTTCTAAATTCTTTAAATCCTTCCAAAATGTTACAAATTATTTGTTATTATGTTTTACTTTGAGGACTTTTTAAAGAGTCAAAACGTTGTATGGTTATTACATTGCTCCTAAAAGTATGCTTTATTTTATCTAATCTTTTATTGACTACCAAAAGAAATTATTGTTACTTCCATATTCCAATTAAAAATGCATTCCATTACAATTCAGGGTCACAAATAGTGACGTAGTGAGAGGGGGGGGGCATTGCAAAAAAACTTCATTTCCTTTCTCACCCTCCCCCTCAAAAATTATACAAATTCTTTAAATGATTTTACTTTGAGGAGCATAAGTCTTCCTAAACAGTGTAAACGTTGTACAGTTACTTTATAATCTGTATAATATTTTTTTGTTATCCTAAAAGTATGCTTTATTTTCTGTAATATTGTTTTGACAATGCCAAGAAATCGTTGTTACTTCCATTTGCAAATTAAAAAAAATGCATTCCATCCAGCTACAATTCAAGGTCACAAACAGTGGCGTGGCGAGTTTGGGAGGTGTGGGTTAGTACAGGAAAAAACAACTACCCTCTCACTCCCTGTCAGAATGCCAATTGCGTACAAATTGTTTGATTGATTTTACTGAGAATACATTAAAGGATTTTCTTTCGTTCACAAATCATCTTAAAAGAACAAAGACATTAGGGCATAGATGCACAAAATGTGACTTGCGCTTGTGTGTGTGTGAGAGAAGGGTGATCTAGTTTAAATTATACAGTGGTGGCCATATCATATGCAACTGAAATCTAACCTTTACCAAAAACCGTGAAAATTTTTTCTGAAAACAAAATTATGCAATTATTTTTTTTAAATATTATTTTTTATTGCTTGTAGTTTAAGAAAAAAAAAAACATATACTCCATAGATATTCAATTCATTTATAAAAAAATTAGGAAAAGATATTCAGTCTTATTATTAAGTGGCCAAAACATATGCAACTAATTAAATCGAGCTCAGTAAAGTGCAAATAAAGTTAATATTTTGTTGCAAATCCGTTGTTGTCGATTACAGCCTGACATCTTCGAGGCATTGACGCTATAAGATGGTCAATGACGCTTTTTGGGATTGATTTCCAGGCATCTTCCAGCCGGCAAAATAAAACATCTAAACTTGTACAATTTTCTCGATCAATTTTTTTGTTTACGATTTCCCACAGATTCTCTATTGGGTTTAAATCTGGGGATTGGGGTGGCCATTCCATTACCGTAACTCTATTATCGGCAAACCACGATTTGACCACCTTCGAAGCGTGTTTGGGGTCGTTGTCCTGTTGAAAGACCCACCGCAATGGCATATTATATTCTGCGTATGGGAGCATTATCCCTTGCAATATGTCTTTATACATAAATCTATCCATAATACCAACAATTCTATGCAGTGGGCCAACTCCAGCACCAGAAAAACAACCCCACACCATTATATTGCCCCCTCCATGCTTGACCGTTTTTTTTTACAGTAACGTGCTTCGAGTCGTTTTCCTTCTGGTCGCCTTACATAGCACATGCCATCGCTACCAATGATGTTAAATTTGGACTCATCACTAAATAATATAGTTCTCCATTTACTCTCTGTCCAATTTATATGAGCTTTAGCAAATTCCAAACGCTTTTTCTGGTTTCGCTTCGATATCAGTGGTTTTTTTGCAGGACGTCTTGCGCAGAGGGAGGCTTGTAAAAGTCTTCTACGGATGGTGCGAGCAGAAACTGGCAACTGAAATCTTTCCACTATCTTAGAGGAAGATATAAATGGGTCTTTTTTCACGTGCCTGATTATTAATTTGTCCGTCCGATCGCTTGTTTTTCGACTTCGACCACCACGGTGTATAACAGAGACTTGTGAATTTTTTTTGTAATTGTTAATGATGCGTGATATGGAGCTTTTATGAACGGTATATTTCTCGGCAATACATTTCTGTGATAATCCAGAAGAATACGCAGTCACAATTCGTTGTCTGAGCTCAAATCCAAATTTATCGCGTGCCATTTTTGAACAAACTCTATTTTAGCTTTGTGAAAAAACAACGCAATAAAAATGTGAAGGTAGCTTTAAATCTCTTTACGCAGTGTCTCTAGCTAATAATAAGAAGAACAATGGAACAAAGGAAATTGTAAAAATGCCGTTATTTAAACCAAATATATAAAGTTGCATATGTTTTGACCACACCAAATTTCACATTTGTCAACAAAACACCTGTGAACATAGAGATATAAACAAAAGCTGCACATTTTGGTAATAATTTGAAATCGTAAGAACGTATTGACTATAATTAACCCATCTTTATATACTTCGTTGTGAAATTTACAAATTTATATAGCCTTTTAACGTAGATGAATCTTAGTTGCATATGATATGGCCACCACTGTAGGTCTAAATTGCAGTCAACCTAGAACTCCTTTGTTCTTTTACCCAGAAAAAAACTCTTATCTATCTCCATCTTAGTGTCCTTTTTTTCCAGCTTTACTTCAAAATCATTTCACATTTCATTTTTAAGTACGCCCCTGGTCCGCAGCACTTGTATTTATTATCTAGAAATAATAGATTTTTTGTACATTAAAATAACTTATTAAGTGCCATTATTGCAATGTTCCTTTGTCACATTTTGCCTTAATTAGAGTTTCAATCATTTAAATAATGCCCCTTCAATTGATGGATCGATTGTTCGATAAAATGACAAGAACGAAATGAAACCAAAAAAATGTTCATTTCTAACATCTGTTCAAACTGTCGCCATGTCATGCAATTATTCAACAGGTTTCCCTCCGACTCTTTCGTTCGTTCGTTCATCCATCCGGCTGGCTGGCTGGCTGGCTGGCAATAATTTCATAAGAGTTCTCCAAGTGATCTGCCTGCTGATGAAAAAAAAACACAAGATTTGCAACTTGGCAGCAGAGCAACAGCAACAAAAAAAGATTGAAATTCTTCGCTGTGATTGGTTGTTGGTTGGCGGTGTGTCGCTGGCAGATAATAGAGGAAATCGCAAAAAAAAACCAAAACCAGACTCTTTCAGTGTAGGGAAAGCTATGGTTTTGGCGTCACTATTTGGAATATTTGACGTCAAGTGTAAGTCTCGGAAAAAAAAGCGCGCGCGTGTTTGTGTGTATGTGTTTGGATAATTGTGAGACAGATCATTTTGTTTTCCATTAGAAAAAAAAGATAAAGAATAATGCATTAATAATTATAATGAAAAAAATAATTTATGGCATACATACCTCTATATGTACCCACATACAATAATTTTTAATGCCAAGTGTCTGCGGGCCATCTGGGCTGTTTGCAATTCATGGTGAAAAAAAGTTTTTAATGATTATTACGGCTAACTCTCCTGGGGTAATGAAAATGAAAAGTGCATTAAATATTGGGAACAAATTTTAATAGATATTGCAAAAAAAACCTCACAATTCCCCAAAGATTTGTTCAATAAATTGCAGCGAAAAGCAAACCACCAATTTGCAAGAAGAAGCATCCCATATGGCATTGATATTAAGGAGATTTGCTCTTTGCAATAACAACATCTATGGGAGAGCAATACATACTCTCCCCACTGTTGGGGCGCCATGGAGAAAGATGTCTGCGCTCTTGTATCAACATGACAACAACAGAAAGCTCACGGCATTCACTCATCAATATTTGACAAGGTAATTCACATTGCATTATTGCACCCACTGACCCACACACACAACATATCCCTCTTTCTCTCTCACACACACACACAACTTGTTTATATATTTTTTTTGTGAAAGGAAAGTGTTAGTGTTATCAATCCCTGTTAGTGTTATTCTGATTAGATTTTAATGAGTGGAGACGAGTGCGTGACGACAGGGCATTGATTACTGGCTAATCGTAACGTAAGATTTTCAAATTGATAATTAAATGGTATTTTACGATAAGTTTGCTTGTTTTTTCAATTTAAATGTTTTAGGCAAAAACGAATCTTCGCCTTATCGTTTATACGTGTGTGAAAAAGGAGATTTATTTTTTAGGTGGTACTCATACGGCGCCAAAACTTGATCTTGATGGGAATTTTTGAGAGGTACAATAAATAAGTCAGCATTTATCGTTTGATGAATGATGAATTTTATGACTGACCCCCTGCAAAGATCACGAAGCATTTGCATGATACATACATACGTCGAACGATTTAGAAGCCTGTGGAATGCAAGAGATTTGCCTGACTTTTATACAAGACACATAAATACATATGGGCCGATTGGGTTTAAACAACATTTTTCAAAAAGTGAAAATGTCAAAAATGTTTGACAACAACAAAAAAACTAGAGAAACGTAAAATAGTAAACATAATGAATTCAAATCCGTCAATTAAACCCTCATAAAAAAGCCAAAAGCTTTAATGTAAACATACTATAAGAAAAAATAACGAAAGGTATGCTACTACAGGGTGGGATAAAAAAATTGCAACAACGTCAAATGACATAATTTTTACGTTTTTTTTTTAATTTTATTGAACGAAAGCAAAAAATGTCGGAAATAGCATCAAATTTGAGAATAAGTTTAGATTTTTTCGAATTGGCCACCGTTGGCACGAATTATGGTGTACAAACGACCAATGAAATCGTCACACGCTGCCCGAAGGTTGCTCTGCGGTATTTTGACCCATTCCCGGCGAAAGGCTTGCTTGAGGTGATCGACACTTTGGTATTGTTTAGTTCCAACCATGCTTTCCAAAATACTCCAGACACAATACGGTCCAACGGATTGGTATCCGGAGATTTTGGTGGCCATTGTGCGCTGGAAATGAAGCGAGGAACCTCATTTTGTAACCATTCTTGGGGTAGCGCGTGCTGAGTGCGATGGTGCTGAGTCCAAGGTCTGCGGCCAAAATGTTTGCATTCCCAAGGCATTAATACACCCTCCAGAATATTTTCGCAATAATATTCGGCATTTATTCTGATGCCACGAGCGGAGAGCGATCATCGCCTGTTATGGAGGCCCACACAATGGCCGCCGCTTGAGTTCTGGTGGCCGACCGAAGGTGTACATTTTCAGCTGACCTTTTTGGCAGGCGAACACGATCATTTTGTTTGTTTACAAACTGCTGGAGAACGAATGTTTTCTTATCGGAGAAATCCAAATTCGACAGTTCACCACTTTCGGCCAAGCGAAGCAACTCTTTACCTTTTTTTAGTCTCTTTTCTTTCCGATGCGGTGTAAGTTCTTGCACTTTTTGGAATTTCAATGGCTTTAACCCGAGCTCCATTCATTTTTCAATATTTTCCAAATTGCATATTGCGATATGTTCAGCTCACGAGCCATTTTTCGGCCACTGCGACGCGGGTTTCGATCAAGTCGCTTCTTTACTTTTCGAACCATTTCGTCGGGATACGCTACCACGGTATCACGGTAACAAGCGATGGTACTAGACAAACAAACAAGCGATGGTTTTCCAGCCGTTGCCGTTTTTTTCATCTCACCCTGTGGATACCGTACCAAAATTGAAATACCCAAAAACCACTTTGTTCTTTAACATTTCAATTAAATTAGCCATATTTGGCCATTTCTTGTTTATTTTTAGTTTTTTTTTTTTTTTTTTTTTTGGAAAAATGAACCTCCAATTGTGGCAAGGTTAAGATTCTATTTTTGCAATCATTTGCGAAAATCTACAACAAGAAAAGAAAAATAAGTTTGGATAATTGTAAAGTTAACAGTTTGTTTCTTGGTTTGCTGGTTTCTGTTTTTTTTTTCTTTTTTCTGCTCCGCAAAGGAATTTTGCTAAAGTGGCAATTGTTAAACAATAAGAGATTATATCGAAACAAAAAATAGTCGTATTCAAGACAATAGCCCGTCCCCCCATCCACAGTCAAAGAATGAAAATACCTCAGGTAGTGGTTAGCTATTTTTCATATCAAGGCACATACATCAATGTTAGTTGGACGCTTGACTTCAGACCGTGAGGATCGGTGGAAAAAAACGAAACGAACGAAAAAAAATATCATTGCAAAAGCAACTGCAAAAGCTACCAATTGTGGTATAAATTATTTATAAAAACAAAAATGCAATAAATAATACTCAACAAAAAGCCACAACAATAACAGAAAAAAAATAAAATATCAACAAAATAATCGACGGGCCATCGTGTTTTTATTTCAATACATTTTGGCATACCCAAACACACACAGTTATTATGGCTGTGAATTTTCTTTAATTATTGTTTTTTTTTTTTGTTTTGTTTTTTGCTTTTCAATATGCAATTAAATGCACCAACTACAACAAAGTAAAACAACAAACAAACAAAAACGAAAAATAATTAAATTTTGTTATGTGAACCAATAGCAACAAATTAAAATTATCTCAAAAACGCAGATTGAAAAATGCCAAAATAAACAAAGCGCGACAATCAAAATTTGTAATTATTTAAATATTTTGTTCAACATTGAAATATTACAAATTTACATGTCACAACAATACCCTTAATATTTAAAAATTAAAAAAAAGAAAAACTAAAATAAATCATTTGAAGGGTGTGGTGGCCAAGAGCGTGAAGGAGCTGGAAGTTTATTTGTTTTTACATTGAAGCTTTTTTAATTTTTATTTTAAGCATGGACTTTACAATTTTGATCCATTTGATTTTCATAATCCATTATTTTAAGCATAGAATTGACAATTGTGATCCATTTCATTTTCCCAATCCAGTACAATGTAAACGTAGTATTATTGTTTGTCTTATCTGATTATTTCATGTCTTTCCCATACAAGGAAATGTCATCACATCTGTTACAGTTAACAATTTCTCCAACCGTCAAATTGAAAGGGTCACCAATAACGGCATTTCTTTTGGCGTCATATAGAAGAAATATATATGAAAGAGCATGAAATTAAAATTGCAAGAGAAAGAGAGAGAGAAAGAGTGTTACCAAAATAAACGACTAGTACTCTATTCCTGAGTTAACCCACATGAATTTAAAAATGTTGCTGTATTTTTCTAAATCGAAAAACTGGTATTATTTTGTACAAGTTTGCAGTTCTAAAAAAAAACTTAAATAAACTGCATTTATCGAGAATTATTAAAAAAAATTATTGCAGAAAAAGTGCAAAGTTGTTTTTTTTTGAGAAAAAAAATTATTATCGATAAATGTGTCGTCGAACCATTTGTTATCGAACACTTGAAATAATCGAACATATTTTCTATTGAAATAACTGTCAATGCGAAAAGTTGCTATCGACTTGTTTTTAAATAAGAATGGTTATCGAGAAATATTTCCAAAAGAAATGTAGTTATCGATTAATTTTGCTTGAAGAAATCTGTCAGAATTTTTGTTATTGGACACCTTATCTTTAAATGAAAGTTGCCGACTAATATTTTTCCCAATAATAAAAGTTGTCACCGATTAATTCAATGAAGTCTATTGCTATTAAACAACTTGAAACACCCTTGGTGTCATATAATTTATCTTTAGCACTACTATATATAATTATGGCGTATTATTAAAATTTTATAATATGCAATCTAAGGCAATTTTGCAAAAATACACACAACTATTCAAATGATTAAAAAATGCTTTAAGAGCGAACATTTTTTATTGCCTTAACAAAATTTGTCCACATTTTTACCACCTCCATTTGTTACATATGGCGTATAAGCAATTATTGTGTGTTCTTCACGAAATGTCCGCCTGTCCAACAAACATACGCCCTTAAGTACACGCAGAACTGTTTGAATTTCTCTTGTAAAAGTGACATTGGATGAAATCATGATTGAATATAGGTACTTTCAACTCGGCTGACGTCAGTTTTTGTTGTAATTACATAGCCATTTACATATGTATGGACACTTGTGTTTTTACAACAAAAATTGTAAATATGTGTGAGACCGATCGACCGACCAACACACAATCATTAAATATTATAAAACTCTGATACGATTTGATAACAAATCAACAGGCTGTTGTTATTCAAAGAAAGATAACAATCTAAACAAAGTGTCATTAATTTAGAGTTGTGCCAATTATTTATTTATTTGCTTTTTTTCATTCAATGACGAAGTTGTGAATTTTAATCTTATTTTTTTGTCTCCCTTTTTACTTGATGTTTATAACTTTGATATGGCCTTTAATTTCTATATTCGGAAAAAGATGTTTTAATTTAAATCACTTTTTCCTTTGAAATTGGGATTTCAATAAATTGACATACAAAGCCATGTTAACACGTGTGTGTGTGCTCTGTTTTGGTAAATCCCCAATTACTCAGTGAGTAGTGTGCTTATGGGGATGTTGGGAATTCACCACGATTTATCACGGCAAATTCTATTGGGGATGTTGATTTGGGTAAATTCACCACGGTGAATTTTAATGGGGATGTTGTCTTGGGAATTGTACCACGGCAAATTCTATTGGGGATGTTGATTAGGGTAAATTCTCCACGGTGAAATATATTGGGGATGTTGTCTTGGGAATTGTACCACGGCAAATTCTATTGGGGATGTTGATTGGGGGAAATTCAGCACGGTGAAATATATTGGGGATGTTGTCTTTTGAAATGTACCACGGTGAAATATATTGGGGATGTTGTCTTTTGAAATGTACCACGGTGAATTATATTGGGGATGTTGTCGTTTGAATTGTACCACGGCAAATTATATTGGGGATGTTGTCTTTTGAATTGTACCACGTCAAATTTTATTGGGGCTGTTGGCGTTGGCGTTGCTAGTTTTAATATGAACTACTAGATGGCGCTAAGTTTAGCGCAGACACAATCCAAAACTGTGTATGGGATGGTGAAATTTCAAGTTTTAATATTCACCACTAGCAGAGACACCCTCCGAAAAAAAAAATGTATTATGATCATATCGAGTGGGGCTAAAGAGATTCAACATGTGAGAAGTGAATATAGCAGAAACACATCTGAAAGAGGTAAGTATCGAAGAAAATCATTTTATCTAGATGGCTCTCAGAATGCTTTTACATAGTCAACATGCTGATTACTGCAGTCAAATGTGCTTATTAATTTATTTGAAAACATATATTTCAAGAAATCGACTTCAATAAATGTGATATATTATAGAAGAGTTTCAATTGACAAATATGCTGCAATTATTGATATTTCAGGGGTTTTAATTTCAGCATAGATGAAAATATAAATGAAAATATAGACAAAGAAATGACATCGAAAAATTCCGGAATAATCAAGTGAAATTCTTGAAAAACGATAACGAAGTCGAGTGGGTTGAACACGAAAATCAGCATGTTGGCTATGCAAAACATGATGAGATAAAAAGACAAAACTAACTTTTCGTTGTACTTGTTTTAATTTGTCTATAATTTTAGCGACTCAAAAATGTTCAGTTATTCCCATCGAAACGATATAGGCGACATCTAACGGTGAGTTCCATCCATACTATCCATAAATTATGTTGTAGCATAGACACACTCCAAAACTATTGAAATATGATCATATCGAATGGGGCTAGAGAGATCCACCATATGAGAAGTGAATATAGCAGAGACAAATTTGGTTAGTATCATAGTCAACAAGAAGATGTGTGTTCTATTATTTTGTCCAGATGGCTCTCCAGTCATTTCCCTCGAAACGATATAGGCGACATCTAACCACCAATTAATGTTGTAGCATATACACACTAAAAAAATGCTGCTGTAGCCAATCAAAGCAAATTCTTCTTGTGTGGACAGGCATTTTGATACATTATATCGATCGCTTTTTGATAGTTTTGTCGATGAAGAATTTGTTTACATTATGTAGCAATTTGAGAGAATTGAAACTGAAAGAGTTTCATGACAAACCCTGCATCAATTCGGTATTGAAGATTGAAGGGATTTGAAGAAGGAAACACCATTGTTTACATTAACTAACAATTGGATTTCTGTGAAATGGATATGAGAATTTGGGGGGAAGCGTTGTTGCAGAGTTTCATGACAAATTCTGCTTCAACGATAGATTGGAGCATGAATGAGAACATGCTTAACTATGCTCAAAATTAAAAACTCTAGTAACTCTGTAATATTGTGAAATTCGCGTTAAATATTCGTATATATAGAAGACAATTTCAAGTAAGGCTCACAGTATAAAATTAAACATTGAACGTGATATTATGGCGAACGCAGATTTAATAAACTTATTCAATTCTTTCAGTTATAAAAAAATAATAACTTTGAAAGAAATGGAGGATAACAAAGAATACAACATCCATGGCGCCTTTAGAACAAATACAAAATATGGGGAAAGAATTGTGCTGAAAATTAATGATGCTATCCTCTATTTGCCGTCAAGATTCCTCTCGCTGGCGGATGAATACATAAAAGAAATAGCTGGTGGGGGTTATTCTGTGACGAAAACTGTGTTGAAAGATGGAAGCGGAAAGAGTCTTTACAAACTAGAATTAAAACATTTGGATCAACCAGATTATTTTTATCAACCATATTTAACATAAACTGAAAAGTAAATAAATATTTTGTTTGAAACTAAAAATTGCAAGCTGTTTTCATTTTAATGTGTGCAGAGAAATATTTCAGTTTATTAGTGAAGCTTTAGAGAGGAAGATGTCTATTCTTAATAAGGAAGACGAACGCTTAAAAACCTTTGCTCGCTGGCCTTTAAATTATCCAGATCCCAAGACAATGGCTGCAGTAGGACTTTATTATACTGGAGTAGGAGATATTACCAGATGTTATTTTTGTAAAGTAAACATTCATAGTTGGGATCAAACTGATTGTCCTGTTACTGAGCATTCAAGGTTGACATATCGTTGCCCATTACTGGAAGGGCGTGAAACAACTAATGTCCCAACTATTTCAAAAAATTGGAATTGTACACCTTCTGAAATTGGTGTAGATGTTTGTGGTCGTGGAGCGAGTAAATGTTCACCCATTTTCTTATTATTGTTCACTTTCATTACCTTTAATGCTTTAAATAAAGTTTTATGCAAATAATACAGTTGCTTGTTTTTATTTATTAACTTTATTAATTTCATCGTCTAGTATGTAGCCAAGTTCTTTCCAGTTTTGTTCAATGAATACAAATATCTTAAATATATTATTTACGGCACACTTAAATCTAGTGTCCAAATGTATAGGACAGTTTGTAAAATAATTTTGGCAAGCTCGAAGTTTCATATTATTTTCTAAATTTATAATGGTAGAATGAATATATTTCTGTAAAAAGATTTTCTTTTCTTGTCCAACAACAAAAATATATTGATAATTGTTCAATGGTGTAAGAGCTTTCTCGACATCATTATAATTTTTTTCTCCATCTGTCCAATCTAAGCCATTCACATGTGTCTTGGTGTAGGCATTTGTTCTGCATGCTTCCCCAGTAAGTTCTTTTATATTAAAAGGTGGACGAAACAAAAAATAATCTGGAACAACAGAAGCACCACACATATATGATAGTTCCTTCACGAAAATACTCTTGTGGTTTCCATGGCAATATTGAAAATCAACCAGTGCAATATCCGATCTATTGATTTCAATCATCTTCTTAGGAAAGTTGAATTTGAATGGAGGGGATATCATCGATGTTGGAGTATTTATAAAATTTTGTTCATGTCCAATAAAAACTTTAAACAAAGATGTCCACAATTGTATGTATGAAATCGTTGATCTCTTTTATAATTGTATGTAATAGCTGGTCCCAAATAGCGTAAAACTTCTATCGGGGGTTGAAGATTACCGAAACTGTCGTAATACTCGATATTATTATTGATTTTATTATATGCCACCCAATGCGTGCCAGGTCCACTGCTAACATCCAAATTTATGATACCACATTCAATTCGATGTGGTTTCTTAGGTAGATTATCACGCATATAAACACCTC